AATTGATTTGGAATTTTGATGGGGACTGCATTGAATCTGTAGATTGCTTTTGGCAAGATGGCCATTTTTACTATATTAATTCTGCCAATCCATGAGCATGAAAGATCTTTCCATCTTCTGAGTTCTTCAATTTCTTTCTTCAGAGACTTGAAGTTTTTGTAATACAGATCTTTCACTTGCTTAGATTCACATCAAGGTATTTTACATTATTTGTGACTATTGTGAAGGGTGTCATTTCCATAATTTCTTTCTCAGCCTGTTTATCCTTTGAATAGAGGAAGGCTACTGATTTGTTTGAGTTGATTTTATAACCAGCCACTTTGCTAAAGTTGTTTATCAGGTTTAGGAGTTCTCTGGTGGACTCTTTAGGATCACTTAAGTATACTATCATATCATCTGCAAATAGTGAGATTTTGACCTCTTCCTCTCCTATTTGTATCCCTTTGACCTCCTTTTGTTGTCTAATTGCTCTGGCTAGGACTTCTAGTACTGTATTGAATAGGTAGGGAGAGAGTGGGCAGCCTTGTCTAGTACCTGATTTTAGTAGGAATGCTTTGAGTTTGTCTCCATTTAGTTTGATGTTGGCTACTGGTTTGCTGTATATTGCTTTTACTATGGATAGGCATGGACCTTGAAGTCCTGATCTTTCCAACACTTTTACCACGAAGGGATAGTGAATTTTGTCAAATGCTTTCTCAGCATCTAGTGAGATGATCATGTGTTTTTTTTTCTTTGAGTTTGTTTATGTAGTGGATTATGTTGATGGGTTTCCGAATATTGAACCATCCCTTCATTCCTGGGATAAAGCCTACTTGATCATGACGGATGGTTGTTTTGATGTGTTCTTGCATTCAGTTTGCCAGAATTTTATTGAGTATTTTTGCATCGATATTCATAAGGGAGATTGGTCTGAAGTTCTCTTTCTTTGTTGGGTCTTTGTGAGGTTTACATATGAACATGATTGTGGTTCCTTCTGTTTCTATTTTGTGAAATAGTTTGAAGAGAATTGGTATTAGATCTTCCTTGAAGATCTGATAGAATTCTGCACTAAAACCATCTGGTCCTGGGCTTTTTTTGTTTGTTTGTTTGTTTTGTGGGGAGACTTTTAATGACTGCTGCTGTTTCTTTAGGGATTATGGGACTGTTTAGATGGTTTATCTGCTCCTGCTTAACTTTGGTACCTGATATCTGTCTAGAAAGTTGTCCATTTCATCCAGATTTTCCAGTTTTATTGAGTATAGGCTTCTGTGGTAGGATCTGATGATTTTTTTTTATTTCCTTAGTTTCTGTTGTTATGTCACCCTTTTCAGTTCTGATTTTATTAATTTGGATACTGTCTCTGTGCCCTCTGGTTAGTTTGGCTAAGGGTTTAGCTATCTTGTTGATTTTCTCAAAGAACCAGCTCCTGGCTTTATTGATTCTTTGTATAGTTCTTTTTGTTTCTACTTGGTTGATTTCAGTCCTGAGTTTGATTATTTCCTGCCTTCTACTCCTCTTGGGTATATTTGCCTCTTTTTTTGTTCTAGAGCTTTCAGGTGTGCTGTTGTTAGTATATGCTCTCTCCAGTTTCTTTTTGTAGGCACTTAGAGCTATGAGTTTTCCTCTTAGCACTGCTTTCATTGAGTCCCACAAGTTTTGGTATGATGTGTCCTCATTTTCATTAAATTCTAAAAAGTCTTTAATTTTTTTCTTTATTTCTTCCTTGACCAACTCATCATTGAGTAGAGTGTTGTTCAGTTTCCATGTGAATGTGGGCTTTCCATTGTTTTTGTCATTATTGAAGACCAGCCTTAGTCTGTGGTGATCTGATAGGATGCAAAAGATTATTTCAATCTTTTTTGTATTTCTTGAGGTCTGTTTTGTGACCAATTATAGGGTCAATTTTGGAGAAGGTGCCATGAGTTGCTGAGAAAAAGGTATATTCTTTTGTTTTAGGATGAAATGTTCTATAGATATCTGTTAAATCCATTTGATTCATAACTTCTGTTCATTTCATTGTGTCTCTGTTTAGTTTCTGTTTCCAGGATCTGTCCATTGCAGAGATCGGGGTGTTGAAATCCCCCATTATTATTGTGTGAGGTGCAATGTATGCTTTGAGCTTTAGTAAAGTTTCTTTTATGTATGTGGGTGCCCTACCATTTGGAGCATAGATGTTCAGAATTGAGAGTTCATCTTGGTAGACTTTTCCTTTGTCCTTCCTTATCTTTTTTGATTATTTTTGGTTGAAAGTCGATTTTACTTTATATTAAAATGGCTACTCCAGCTTGTTTCTTGGGACCATTTGCTTGGAAAATTGTTTTCCATCCTTTTACTCTGAGGTACTATCTGTCTTTGTCACTGAGGTGCTTTTCCTGTATGCAGCAAAATTCTGGGTCCTGTTTATGTACCCAGTCTGATAGTCTACATCTTTTTATTGGGGAGTTGAGTCCACTGATGTTACAAGATATTAAGGAAAAAAGATTGCTGCTTCCTGTTATTTTTGTTATTAGAGGTGGAATTATGTTTCTGTAGCTATCTTCTTTTAGGGTTGTTGGAAGATTACTTTGTTGCTTTTTCTAGGTTGTAGTTTCCCTCCTTGTGTTGGAGTTTTCCATCAATTATCTTTTGAAGTGCTGGGTTTGTGGGAAGATATTGTGTAAATTTGGTTTTGTCATGGAATATCTTGGTTTCTCCATCTATGGTAATTGAGAGTTTTGCTGGGTATAGTAGCCTGGGCTGGCATTTGTGTTCTCTTAGGGTCTGTATGATATCTGTCCAGGATCTTCTGTCTTTTATAGTCTCTGGTGAGCAATCTGGTGTAATTCTTATAGGTCTGCCTTTATATGTTACTTGCCCTTTTTCCCTTACTGCTTTTAATATTCTTTCTTTGTTTTATGCATTTGATGTTTTGATTATTATGTGACAGGAGAAATTTCTTTTTTGGTCTAGTCTATTTGGGGTTCTGTCGGGTTCTTGTATGTTCGTGGGCATCTCTTTCTTTAGGTTAGGAAAGTTTTCTTTTATAATTTTGTTGAAGATACTTATTGGCCCTTTAAGTTGGGAATCTTCACTCTCATCTATACCTATTATCCTTAGGTTTGGTCTTCTCGTTGTGTCCTCGAAGTTTTGGGTTAGGAGCTTTATGCATTTTGCATTTTCTTTGACAGCTGTGTCACTATTTTCTATGGTATCTTCTGCACCTGAGATTCTCTCTTCTATCTCTTGTATTCTGTTGGTGATGCTTGTATCTATGACTCCTGATTTCTTTCCTAGGTTTTCTATCTCCAGGGTCTCCCTTTGAGATTTCTTTGTTGTTTCTATTTCCATTTTTAGATCTTGGATATATATATTTTTTAATTCCTTCACCTGTTTGGACTATTTCATTTCCCACTAAAATTTTTTCATATACTTCTTTCAATTTAAAATAAATGGATTACTTAGATCTGAATTTAAATTTGCAAGCCACAGACCTAAAACACAAAACTCTATCACAGAGCCTCCAAATAGTTCATTTTTGGTCCCTTAAGAAAGGATTCCTGGATATAGATATTTTCCATTTCAGTATTAACAAAATTTGTGGTTGTGAAAATATATTCATTAATTAAAAAACATTTTGTTTAGATAGTTTCCCCATAAAAACCTCTTCTAGTTCCTGAAATACTCTAAGTCATGGTGACAGGGGCTTGAGGGACATAACCCGACCTAGCTTCAGCCCCTTCTCCATCTTGCTCTTTTGTCTCTCCTCCTCAGTGCAGCTACTTTAACTCTGCTCCTCAGATGATCATCTACGCTGTCATGTTCCTTTAGCTTTGCCTGACATCGCTCTTATTTATCTTTAGGTCATCACTGTCTTTAAACACTTGCTTTCCCAGTGTGATCCATCTATGTATAGACACTCTCGACGAGCCACAGGGCAATAGGATTTAAAAACAATTTGAAAAAACATCTGTCTCACATTTTCAAAATGTGGTCTTGTTTTGTTTTTTTTTTTCCTCCTTCTTTGACAATCTTCTCTTCTGGACTACAAGCTCTGTGAGGTCTGAAGACATGTCAATGTAGCAAATAGTCAGTGCAGATTTGTTAAATAAATGGCTAATCAAACTATACTTCTCTAATAAATCTCTTCAGCAAAACGTCCTGTTCACATGTAGGCCGGATGCATCCTGTGTATATCCACACCCCTCTGTGAGCACAAGTGTGATCCCCTGTGTCCTGACAGTGAGTTTTCATTGGTCTTCCAGCAGAGTTTTGCCTATTCCCACAGTGAGAAGTAAAACGAGGTTCCAGGTTTTAAGGTAAATTACTCTTTTCAAACAAGATCACACAGCAAGTACATTGCCTTATTCAGAACTCAGCCTGAGGGCTTCCACTGAGAGATCCTGGAGAGGCATTCCATTGTCTAATCTTCATGTAACAGTGTGGATTTCTGAAAGTTTATAGTCCAAAACACAGATCCCTCACATTTGGCAGTACGACAGTCTCTAATGAGTTATTTATGTCACTCCCAGGGAATGTCTTCTGAGTCTGGCATTATCCTTACGATTCTTCGTGCAACCTTGAAACTAAGAGGATTTTCACAACAAGCCTGGTTTTCCCTCTCAAAGTAACTTTAAATATTTGCAAGAAAGGATGTTACTGTGAGGCTTGGGTTGTTCTTTTCTGAACAAAGTCCTTCCCATTTTTGCTGAGCCATGCTATGATTGCATTTTCCCCAGCTGAAATGTGTTTACATATCTAGTGAAAATAGAAACATTCACTGTAATCAGTTCTGCAGGACAGGAAGGAAGCATCAGCTCTTCCTCCACAAAAGGATGTCAGTTCATGGGAAAAAGTACCAATAAGCACCAGTAAGTCTCTCTTGACTCCTGTCTCCTACAAGAGGTTCAAAAGCTATTAAGAAATAAGCCACTGATTGGTTTTACAAATATTATCTTAACTTCTAATCAATGAATTCAATCAAATTTTATAGATCTATGTTTTACACTTGAAATTATTATTTTCAATAACAAAACCTAGATAACTTCAACTTCTAAAATACTTTATTTTTTAGTTTTTATTTTGTGTGTATGGAATTTTGCATACATGTCTGACTGTGCCCCTCACATACATACCTGGTACCCTCACAGACCAGATTACAGAATCGAGGTGCCATGTGGGTGCTTGGGTCCTGTGCAGGAACATGTGCATTTACTTGCCACAACATTTCTCCAGTCCCGTCATGTATTTTTCTCTAAATATTTTTACTAATACAGGAAATTGCTTAAGAAAATATAATACTTTTATTCAATGTCTTCAATTTTTCAAAGATTGTCATGAGATGACACAGACCTCAAATCTCAGATTAATTCCAGGATCCTAGAACATGACTACGTTAAAAGCCAGCACAGTGATCTGAGGGTTGGCAGAGCAGATATTTGATGAAGTACCAATGCTTGATCCATGAATATAAGATTTAGAAAGTTAATACTGAGGAGGAGGAAAACACACACAGTAGATGGTTCAGTTGAGTCTGGGGCGCTAGACCCGTGGAACCCTAAGACAGGTATTTCCTTAACACTCCCAAGTGATGGGAGTAGTTTGCAGAAGAGTTAGCACCAGGCATAAAATGTTCTAAAGTATTTCAGCTGCACAAGTTGCCATGGAGATTATCCAGTTTTTTTTTTAAAGCTCAGTTTTAAGCCCTTTAAGACAAGCATCTATTAAAAGTTCTATTTCGTAAAATGAGTGAGTAAGTAAATAATGTTTAGGCTCCTTCCGTGATGATATCAGAGTGTCAGCAGGACAACTGGAACGCATAAATCTTCAGTTACAGTCAGCTCTCATCACTCGGATTATGAGCAATATGCAGGACGCTATTAATGTTTCTCAACACACAACCCTACAGAAAACAGCGATTCCCCAACAGGAAGTGCACGGCAACGTTCCATTCGCAGCACAGCTAAGGGAACCGCACTCGGTGTGTCCCATAGCCGAGGGAGCTGCTTCTGCTTTCATCGTGCTCTCTAATCTCCATGTTTCTCATGACACAGACTTCTGCCCTCATCCCTCAGCAGCCGGTTCACCTCTGAGCAAGGTCCAGTGCTTCCCATTTTCTGTTCCAGCTTCTTCTACATCCGTGCTGACCCTTCCTCCTCTTGGACCGTTTCACCTTGGCTGCTCAAACCAGTAGTCATTCCTGGATCCTTCATAATCCCTGGATCGTGACAAGAAATGGTAGAATATTTAATTATACCACAGTAGTTCTCAACCTCTGGGTGGCAACTCCTCCCGCAAACCTCTATCTTCAAAAATACTTACATTATGATTGCTAACAGCAGCAAAATTATAGCTATAAAGTAGTAACAGAAATAATTTCATGGTTTGAGGGTTACTACAACATGAGGAACTGTATTAAAGGGTTTTGGCATTAGGGAAGTTAAGAACTACTGTTATACAGTAACATTTTACAAATTAAGAACAATGACAACACAGTAAAAACAACCTAAATTTAGAAGACATGCAATTGTGCTTGGTCATATAGAATCCAGAGCTCCTGCTAGTGTTAAATAAATGGACTCATTATTTAGACCAAAAGGTGTGGTATTGGTAGGTGATGGCACAGTGGTAATTGCTGACCACACTAAGTCACAAAAAATAGTGAACTCAAGGGGGCACATTGAATGAGAACATGGGATGCCAAATAAATCCAGGGTGAGGAGAAAGAATTGAGAGGAAATGCAAAAGAACAATAAAAATGGTAAACTGAAAATCATGGCAAAGCGACATGAAAGAAACCAAGAAGAAAAAGAAAAGGCAACAACAGCAAAAAGACAGTGGTGACTTTATAGAAGACAGTGGTGGCTTTATAGAAGATAGTGGTGGCTTTATAGAAAGGTCAAGAGAAAAGAGCAGAGAATAGATCCCAGACCTGCCATTGCAAAGATACTAGAACCTCAGTAGCTCCAGTAACCCCAGTAACCCTGATCCTCTTGAATATTTTCGTTGCCTTGTTTTGTTTTGTTTTGTTTTGTTTTGAAAGATAGAATCTCAGGGATGTGGAATGTTGGGCAACCATGCAACCAATTGATTTAAATTCTCATCCCCTCATGAGGGCATTTTCTAAGAGATATAGATATGTAGCCAAATTGCAAAAATGGTTGGGAAGTTAAAAGAGCAAATGTGAACAAAATGAATGTTGCTAATGAAGGAAGAAGAGAGATCTCAAATGAAGGCAGAATCGTTTTTTTTTTTCTTTTTCTGTTACTGTTTGTTTGTGACAGGGTCTTGCTATGTAACCTCATGCTGGCCATAAACACCCAGTCTTCTTGCTGCAGGTGTGTGTTGCCTGCCAGGCTCTCTATACAGGAACCAATTCTTTCATTCTTTTTTAAAATGTATTTTAGTTTTGGATAGTTTTTTGAGAGGAAGGAGACAAGATACAGAATAAAAAGACAAGTCACTGAGCAAATGTTAGTAGAGGAAGGAATACTCTCTCAGAAAAGCCAATGGAATGCATGAGGTAGAGAGAGGCTGGAAGCAAAATAAAATAAATAAAATTAAATTAAAATAAAGTAAAAGGACTTTACTTTATCTGAGACTTAAGAGGTAACGAACATTGCACAAAGAGATGAGTAGGATAAACAATAACAAGAAATATTAGAAACCATCCCACTAAAGAAAAAGAAAGAAAATTATGATGAAGTAACAACATGCCAGAAACTGATAAATACGTACATGGAAAATAAGAATTGTCATAATTCCTCAATGTTCTAGGTAAAACACAAGATCAGCAGCCATGCCCATCATGGCTCTTAAAATCAAACTCACAGAGCCAGGTATGGTGTTCTCAGCTGTTTCCCTAGTGTCATCCTAGAATGCTTTCTTTTGTTTCTGATCATAGACCATGTTTCAAAAGAAACAGTTTTCCTTTTTAAAACTTATTTTTAAAAAGTAACAAATAAAGAGAAAGAAAACACACATACACACACATGCACGCACACACGCACGCACGCACACACACTCACCAAAATTTACCAGATCCAAAGACTATACAACTCAGCAAACTTCTATACAGGAGTAATTTTCAAACATTATGAAAGTTTTTGCCACACAGCTGAGATAAAATAACAAAAAATGTTTTAGGCAGCATCAAGACCCAGCACTCTCTGTGGGATGTTCCCTGGTGGTCTGTTTCAAAAGAATCTCTTTTAGTTTAGCCCTTGTGTAAGAAATCTGGTAAAGACGGCAGATGTTGCTAATTAGAGTGTGGCTTTTGTGCATGAATCCTGCTCTTCAGTGAGGAATTAGGACATGGTTCTCACATGCCTGTGGTTCCAACACTCTCTTCAGTTGTCCCCACACCACCCCAAATCATTTCTGACAAGCTAGAAGAAGGCCAATAGTGAAACAAACAGCATAGGCCAAGAAAGGCAGATTCCACTCTCTTTAAGGGCGATTAAGGCAGTGAGGAACAGAGGCACCAAAAATGAAGGTCAGAATCTACTAAACATGCTCTCCTGAAAGTGGCTCCCTGAACAGTATGGCCACTGTCAATGCTTACATTCCAGCACAAAATAGCCACCTTTAAAGGAGGGGTCTAGCTCAGCACATTCCAACCTCAAAAGCTGAAAGAATCAGAATCCCCCAGCCCAGAAGCATCTGTTTCAAAGTATCTGGCAAAAAGAAAAAAAAAAGCATAAAATGAAGTTACAAACAAATCTTCTGATTTATTGTTTTAACCAATCTCCTGCTGGACAGACATTTAAGTTATTTCTTGTTCTTTGAGCTTTAAATATTATTCATTATTTGTTATCTTCTAATATCAGTGTGTTTTACTGTAAGACAAATGTCCTTAACTTCACCTAGTGTGTATTTCAAAGTGACTTGCCTAAGGAAAAAGAAAAAAAAAAAGAAATAAAAAAACCATTCTAAATTCATAGTTTCTGAAGTCTTCATTAATTCTGTTCCTTTTATAGGATGGTCTGATGCTTATTGTTTTCTCAGTCAGGCAATCAAGTTATTCATACTACATTGTATTGAAGACACAGCTCCAGGTATGATAAATCCTCTCTGCCTTTATGTGGGAAAGCCACTCCCTTTCTGTTTAGATCTCTTCTCTGAGGACAGGGTCTGTGTCTAAGTCTTCTGGAGGCTCAGCAAAAGCATCCTTCTAGTGCACTCTTGGGTGGGTCCCACCAAGCTGTGACAAGTCACCATCTCACAGTCTGAACGTGCTTATAAAGACTTCGCTGCTTCCTGCAGTTTGTTGCCATGACTTGATCTTTCACCCACAAGTCATTCCAGGACATTTAACTTCTGGAGAGCAACTAGAGGCTCATCAGAGGGTCAACAGAGCTGGACTTTTAGGGTGCAAAAGGAGTGGGGGTGACTAATCTTTCCAAACTTTATAATTGTACCAAAGAAGATTGGTTATGGTTAAAATCAAAGTGTATCCACAGTGAAAAACAAACTTATACTTAAAGTTTAACTAAAGCCACTGTTCTGTTTTTGAATACAGCATAAGAATCTGCCTCTATATTATTCTTTAAGTTTGGAGGAAGGAAGTGTTTAAACAACAATATTTTACAGTAAGAACATTTCTGAGAGGGAAGTTCTTTTCAGCAGGGGAAACAGACAGGCAATATGTATGGCCCTGAACAGGAAGAAGGGCTTGAGGCTGTGACCTCTGTGTGTGTGTGATCACACAGAATCTTAGGCTGCAGTGACTGAGTAGGGTATTCTGAGGATGTTTTCTAGAAATGTGAGAAGAGGGTATATGATGCATGATTATCTTACTTTTAATCCAACATAATGAACAGAAGGCAGAGGTCCCAAACCCCTCAGCAGTTAAGGTCCCTTAGGGAAAGCTACAGTCTCTAAACCAGCCTGTACTGGCTCTCAAATACTGTGCACAAGTAACAAAGCTGCACCCTAGCAGGATGTGGCAGGTGAGAAAAACAAGAGTTAAAGCCAGAAATGAGGCTAGAAGATACCTGGTAAAAAACTTTCTTCCCAAATAATGCCAAGAACCCAGAGTGGGAGCCTGGAGCCTATTTAAGTCTGTGATATCTCAAGAAAAGAAATAATGAAGAGGTAAGAGTAATTTATACTTAGCATGTCAGAAGTTGTTTACAACGGACTTCAAGGAGCTTGAAAGCAGTCCTTTCAAGCCTCAAATGTTGGGGTATGCTATTAACATGTTGTAAAGAGGATGACTTACTAAGCAAATATATACACTGGTTCAGCCAATTATGATTAACCTTTAAAAACACTGTGGTCCAGACCAGCCAGCTTTATTGATGTATTTGCACATGCTACTAATTTAGGATGTAAAGTAAATTTAAAGGCAGGAACCTATTACTTTTCATGAGGTTATACAAGTCATTAACTAAGGACTTATGCATTCTTATATATGAAATCTGTGTGTGTGTGTGCATGTGCGTGTGTGTGTGTGTGTGTGTGTGTGTGTGCTGCATTTTAAGATAACAAGAAAGCTTTAAATAGACTACAAAGAGTGGCAGACTTCCCTAGCCAATCAGCAGAGAAGTCTCTGTTCAAAAACATTCCAGCCCGAAGAATCAGCCAGGAGCAGGTGCCTCTGCTCCCTCTGACTGCTGGCAGTGCAACGCACTGCTCTGGCTAGGGAATCCCCAGTGTAACCAGGGAACAAACCAAGATCATCTTGAAATCTACAGACATGAAAAAGATCTCTATTTAAGGACAGGAAGGAAGAGTTTGATTTCAATAAGATATAGTCTGTGAAGGGAAAAAAATAATTCACTTTTGTTATCCCCAAACTAATTAGTAGAGAGAAGACTAAAATAGATTTTCCCATGGAAAGTAGTATAGGAAATTTCTGAAGTATCAATATGTACTGTCTACACCACTACCTAGTGATATCTAAGCTATCTCTCAAACACTCAGAATTAGAATCATGAGGTGGAGACATCACAAACTCAAGACATGGGTGCAACTCTGCCAAAACTGAATGGTGAAACATAGACTACACGGAGGACTTCTAACCCCACACTAAGCCATAGCTCCCAACCCAAGAACAAGTGTGCTGCTAAAAGCATACATTCATAAGACTGCTGTTGAACTCCTCTTTTTTGTTTGTTTGGGGTTTTTTTTGTTTTTGTTTGTTTGTTTGTTTTTCAAGACAGGGTTTCTCTGTGTAGCCTGGGCTGCCCTGGAACTCACTCTGTAGACCAGGCTGGTCTCAAACTCAGAAATCCACCTGCCTCTGCCTCCCAAGTGCTGGGATTAAAGGCGTGTGCCACCACCGCCCGGCTTGAACTCCTTTTCTTAAGGAAGACCCTTCAGGATACTCTTGAGCTTAGCTGTTAAGAACAATTGTAAATGAGCCGCCGTTATCTTTCTTCAGTGGACATCGACTACTTCATATATGGGATGAAATGGGAAAAGATCAGGAGAGCCCTAAACTCACAGGGATCCACTTAGAATTAAAGGTATGTGTTCCCCACAACTGGTGGGTTTTAGTTATTTCCGATTCTTATGTTCATTTGACTGTAGGTACCATTGACATTGGCATTTTATGAATGTGAAACAAAGGAGCTGTAGCTACAAGGCCACACATGGCTAGTAAATAAAGAAACTAGAGTGAGATCCCATCAGCCTAGTAGTTACATTATTTTTCAGCTTCTTTTGTTTAGACAAGGCCTCTATGTGTAGCCCAGACTGGTCTCAAACAGCCTTGTACTCCTGGGATCACAAACGTGTGTCACCCAGAAGACCCAATTCAGTCGAAGTCCATTCCAGTTAAGACTGTAATTTTATCCACTATGTTCCCACCTTTAGTTCTCCACCAACTTGCCTTATGCTAATAGTTTGGTACTATTAAATACCGCAATACAGAAAGTACGCTTCTAGGCTGAGGCTGAACAGTCTGTAAACAAGAGCTACCCAGAGAAGGTCTAGCCATCATTCTTGTTTGTCATCATTATGACGTTGGGGTTCAGGGTTCTTAACCTCACCAGCAATCACACTGACGATATATATATATATATATATATATATATATAACTTAAAAGTATTTCAGTTGCCCATATGCTGTTTAAGTTCCTTGTACGTTATTCTGTCCTAATGGCCTGGAAGTTTGAAACCTCTCATGGTAGTTCGTTCCATCTCTGGACAGCTTTAAATGTGAAGAATGACTTCCTCACATTGAGATTAAAACTAACCCTGGTCACCTCTTTCTCTCCTTAGCTATAGATTTTAAATAACATGTGGTTCTTTTCACTCTGAGTACTTAATAAAACTGATGGATTGCCTTTCTCCAGAGAGTAAAAATGACGGATTGCCTTTCTCCAGGAAAAATGTAGAAAGAACACAGAAGTTTTATAAACAGTTTCTAGGGAATTGTAGATAACCCAGATGCCTCTAAATTTTCTGTTACCCTTAGATATAGAAATAGTTCCAGTAATGGCCTTTTAAGAGCTGTAAAGATGGTGTCTTTCTCTTTTGAACTTAAATATCTTGTCCAGTTATGTGGGCTTCTGTGTTCTCCCACTGAAGTACAGATGCTCAGGATCTGGCCACTCATTTCAGCCCAGTGAGACTTTTCTGATTCCCAGGCCTACGGTCCTATCTGCTTACCCTCTCACCTTTAAGTTGCTTATAGCCTCCATCATCACTGTAGCCACTGGCAAAGAAGGAGGGGCCAGGAAACAGCACTGCAGCTAGCAACCTGTCATCAGAGCAGGGAGACTCTGTGTGGCCAACGCTTTTCTTTTTCTTCTACAGATTGTATCCTGAAATGAAAGCACCGGAAAACACAAGGAAGTGTGAGCAAGAACCAGAACTTATTATGTACTGTTAATTTTATCCAACAAAAGAGAACTGCTTTTGTTTTGAATTCCTCTATACTGAGTTAGTTCAGGTAGCACACTAACTCAGGGAATATGAAAACACATGACAGTCATATGGCAGAGGAACTAAGTAGAGATTGCAAAATCTCTTTTTAGAGTTCAGTGTATGACCTTAGGAAGCCCACATGTTACTCCAAACCTAGAGACCTTCACAGTTCTAACCCTCTTATACAAGCCATTCTTAGCCAATAGCTGCCTCGATGGTTGAAGGATTCTCATAACTGCTAGCTGAAGTCCCATGTTTAGCATCAACACTTCATAGTTCAAATAAATTGCTCTCTGGCCAACTTGCTTATGCTTTATGAGTCTCTGACTTCCATTGTTACAGTTATGTGACAACATCACACTGGTCTTGTCCACATGTTTGGAGGACTTTATGAATTTGGTTATATCCCTTCAAGTGTTTCCATTTTGTAATAATAAGAGTTTTAATTTAGGAGCCAATATTGTAAGTTAGAAAAAAAAGCAAAATGATTTGTCAGGCGATTCTGTTATTAACTCTCTGAGTGACTAGGTCTATCTGGGGCTTTTCTGATCTCCAGGCCTATGGTCTCGTTTGCTTACATTCTCTCCTGTAACTTGCTTTTAACCTCTATCAACATGTTTACTCTAGCCCCTGGCAAAGAAGGAGGGACCATAAAACAACACTGCAGCTAGCAACCTATCAAGGTAGAACAAGGACACTTTCTGTACCTCTTTCCATTTGCAATAGAAGGCTAGGGTGGCTTCCCTAAGGTCTCCTTTCAGTTTTCATCTTCCTATTATTCTAATTTGGTTGATCTGTTTCCTTTCTGACATGAATCATGACTTTAATACATTTAAAACATTGCATAGGTTTCCTCAATGAATGAGACAAAGTATATCACAGAAAATAATCCCCCCAGTCCAGCAGCTCCTAAAATGGTTTCACTAGAAACACAGAGGGTATTTTCAAAACTGCTTTCCCTGGCATCTTTTCCTCAAATGTTCTGGTTTATATATGAAGAATGAATGAGAGAAGAATGTTGCCCAATAGGACTACAGTAGCTTCTTTAGATGCCAACTGTTCTAACACAGAGTTCTCAAGTTTGTCTGCATACAAGAATCACCTGGTAAATTTTCAAATCCATTAGTGCGTCAGCCCACCTATAGATTAGGGTTTAGTTGCCCCTGGAGACCTAGGTTTTCAGGAGGGTGTTAACACTCTCTAGGTAGTTATGGTGAAGAGTCAGGGCTGAGACCCACTCCTCTGAGTATATCTTTCTAGTTCTTTCTGCCTGATCATCTGACCTCCAGAGCCCACCTTGGGCACTTATCAAATGACACACCCTTAGACTTTATCATAAGGTACAGTCCTGCTCCCATTAGATAAACCCACTGCCAACTTCTTGCTTTTTTTTTTTTTTTTAGCCTAGGACTATAATGCTCTAATCTTGTCAGTTCCTCATGCTCTCTGTCCCTTGTCTTTACATTCTTGACACACGGCAGCCCCATGTTCGCTATCACTTCTTCTCTACTACATTCATCTCTCGTCTAGCATCCTGCATGTATTTGTCAACTATTCCAACTTTCTTCTGAATCCTGAGTTATCCTAATCAAAATTCTCTGTACTATTAAAAAAATTAAAAGAGATAACAAGATGAAAGAATGTTATGATTGCTACCACATAACCAAATGATAGGCATGTGTAACAAGAAAACTGAAATACATAAAACACACCTTAAAATGATCTGTAAAACTGTGATTCAATTCTTCCATATAAGATTAGCCATAACTCAGATCACATTAAAATGTTAATTATAATCAGATTGTATTAAATATGAAAGATAAAGTACTAATAAAGCTGTTCAAAGAAAAATAAATGATAATATATTATAGTTTTAATAAAGCAAAACTCTAATGAGCTATAGAAGGTAAAAATAAATGGGTTCATTGAAAGTTTAGATAACTTTGAATATTGAGATAAAATAAATTTTTAATACTCATATTGTAATACATATGAATAACTTTACAACTATGTAAAGCATTTTTATGTGTATGTTACTACTCTAGTTGTATTTTAAAGCACAGTGGTGTTCTGAGTACATCTTGAACATTTAGGGTCAGCACCGTGAACGCTGTTATCACCCTCTTCACCAATGCTTCCATGGGGAGCTCTCTGAAATGAGAGAGTGGCGAGTGAGACCTTTGCTTTAGTGCAATTTATATCAGTTAAACTGCAGGCAGATTTATCATAAGGCTAATAAGACTTTTGGCTTTAACTTCTTTTCTTGAAAGGATTCTTTCCAAAACCCTAAAAGGGGCCCCATTAACAGATTCTATATGTGTTTTTATCAAATAGCAAAAAGAAATTATGGCAATTTATTGTAATTTTTTTATTCTAAATATTTAATTCTGTATATGTTATGTACTGGTAATTCTGTACTTTGGTAACTAGGTCCACTCCTATTTTGCTTTTAAAGTCACAATGTCCTGCTTTCACTCCATGGCCTTTAAAATCTGATGATGGCCTCCTCAGAGAAAATGTGTTTCTGGGAAAGAGGCAAAGCAATACTTTTTTTTTAATGAGTTTAATCAGCATCTTCCAGATACATCAGGACTGACTGACATACGAACTCATACACCCTGTGGCCTTACACACAGGTTTAAGCCATTTGGGGGCCCCAGTGCTGTGAGTGGGAATGGTCATGAGCTTCCACCCCTGATGAAGAAGATGTCTCTAACTCATATCCACTCTCAAAGAAAATTACTAGTTTTCTCCAATGAAGTCTCACCAGGCAAATAAACCTTAAATATTTAAGGAACAATAGATGTCCTGTGTCCACCAGTAGATGATCATAACACAAAATGGTCTTTCTGTATATTTTTTCTCTTTTGTCTCATTCCTTTGTTTGGGATTTTTAAATTTTTCCTATTTCTCTTTTGCTTGTATTTTATGGTTTTGTTTTGTGTTTTTATGGAGTTTGATTATGTGTGTGTGTGTTTCTTGCATGTTTTCTTTTCTTTCTTTTTTTAATTTGTTTTTGAAAGAAACAGAGAAAGTGTGTGCATGAATGTGGGTGGGTGAATTTTTTTTTACAAGAAAATTTTTTCAATATAAATATTACAAAGGAAATTAACAAAATTAAGTTTGATAATAATTATACAAATTTATGGCACACAATGTACTATATGGAAAATGATCATACTTTGAGGTGACAATACTATTGCACAAATGTTCTTTGTTCAGCCGTGTTCTCTCCTTCCCTTCCTCAACCTCAGAGAAGTTGAAGAACCTTTGTGTTGAAATGTTGAATGAACTCTGGTCCCCTCTCTGGTCTCCTCCACATTTACCCCTGCCATTTCAGTCTTCTTCTTCAGACTCCTCCCTCTCCTGTCCTCTTCCTCCCTCCCCTTCCCTGTCCTCCTCTTCTCCCCAGGATCTCTCTGGCTGACCTCAAGCACACTCAGCACTTCCTGCTTTTACGGTTCTGTTTAGTAGCTTCTCCCTTATAAATATCCATGTCTTTAACCAAGTGAGAAAGCAAAGCAAACACTGCATATGTCTTTTATCTGGAGTTGCTTCAGCACACATGCCCTTGAGTGAAGGAAGAAATTTGTGGCAACTGAGCCTGGGCCAACCATAAGGGTGTCCACTGCTTTCCCAAGCAGCAAAATTGTCCAAATAGACACGAGGGACATAAAAAAGAAAAAGGGCAGCATCAACTTTTCCTTCCACAAAGTGGTCTGGTGGTCCTGGAATCCTAACTCAGACCGCACTGATGGTGGTAGAAGCTCATGCCACAGAACCAGGGGAGAGGGTAGGGAGAGTACTAGTCAGATTTCAGAGTCCAGTGTGAAGATGTATTTTATGGCAAAGGGAAGGGAGAAACTGCATTGTATAAAGGTTTTGATAATGAAAGTTGAGGCTTATATAGTACTAGCATTCTTAGATGTTTGTCTAGCAAATATGATTTAGGTTATCTTAGTTCTTGAATATCTTTGATTATCATAGCTTTTCTGAATTAATTCTAAATGGTGATTCTGGGGAAATACTACAAATATTCTATAATACTATGGTCTAAATATATTTCCTTCAAGGAAAAATGAAAACAAAAATCTTCTAACAGTTTAAGTCAATTAAGCTAATATTTTAACAAAGAGGATGGGCATTCTTGGGCAAGATCAGCACAGTGACTTCGTGGAGACACAGAGTCTGCCAAGATATTTAGGGTTCAGACTTTGCCTTATATTTTAGTCTAGGAATTTGAAGTAGCTTTTTTTTCCTTCTTCTTTTTTCTTTTTCTTTCTTTCTTTTTTTTAGTATAGAATAGAGTTTATTCAGGGCATGGGGAGGGGAGTTAAGAAGGTAGTAGAGAGAGAGAGAGAGAGAGAGAGAGAGAGAGAGAGAGAGGGAGGGAGGGAGGGAGGGAG